AATTTATAGACGCACGTGGACATTATCTATGAATACTAACTTTGTATTTTAAAATTCTTGCAACAAAATATGTACATAAATGTTGGATACATTTCCACATGAATATATAATATAAAATTTAAAATAAGAGAAATTTTATTTCATATTGTTGTGTCACAAATGATCGGGAAACATTTTGCGCAATTTTACAATAATTTTATAATAAAATGAAATAATGAAATAGAAAGTCATATTATCGGATTCTTTATGTAAGCTTTGAAAGCAAAATATTAATGAAAAATAATTGTAAAATTACTAGCAATCGTGTAATTGCAAATGTCATTTTAATAAAATAATAATTCGATAATTTAACAAATGGAAATAAATGTTATTTTTTTTAAGAAAATATTACTGCGCGTTCTCAATTCGAATGATCCGAATCGAGTTGCAGAAATTATTCTTATGTTTTTCGTATGACAGAAATGAAATTTGTCATTCGAATAATACATGCGTGAAATGGTTAACTATTATTTGAATAAATAATTTTACCGTTATACTCGTATATGGAGACGATATGAAAAGCGATGATACTGCAATATCAAATATTCTTGAAATAAAAACAATCAGTTCTTCATCTTCTACGAGAGGTATATACAATTATTTTTATCAATTGAAAGATTATTGAATGTTGTAAAATTCTTTCTTTATTCGAACATTTTTATAAGCTTTTTTACGAACTCTGTTACATTTAATATTAATATTACATAAAATAATGTTACATAAAATAATGAAATTTAATATTAAAGTATTATTATTGTAACCTTTTTTGATTATTCCAACTTGTCAATGACATTTAATTCAAGACTTTTAAGTGCAATCATGCATTATTAAAATAAATATTAAAAAGTTTCTATGTTACGAATTAATAGTCGCATTGAGATTCAATTTATATTAAAAGGTTTAGTTAATATAATTATCTTATCCCCCTCAACATTTTGTACGATAAGTAACTTCGAGAATGGAAAAAATTAATACAAATTCTTAAATTATAATTCATTCAAATTTTTCATCCAGCTTTTTTATACAATTTTACAATTCAACCGACGATTAATTTTTAACGAATGAAACAGATTTAGTAATTAATACCGCATCAGAAGGTCGAGCGTCCAGCTCCACCGATTCCACCGGTAGTTCGCCGTCCGATCTGAGGAGACGTCTTGAAGATCTGCCGTCGCCGAATGAATTTACTTTTCTGGCCGATCGCGTGGCCGCTCTAGGTCGACGAATCGGTCGTAAACGCGAGATCTTCCTGCGTCTGCACGAAGTGACAAATCGAATTGAGGAGAACGACGAGTGGGAAAAGAGGGAACAGAGGGCAGAAACTGAGAGCTCCTTGAGAGTGTCCAGACCAAAAGACGCCCGAGCACGAAGGAGGGCGAGAGTTAATCTGGAAAGTTCTCTCCGCTGCTACGACAAAGCAATGGTGATTTCTCAAACTGACGGTTCTGCAAATTCTTCTAAAATTACCAGTGATGGCAAATTAAATCCTGCCGAGTCCTCCGTAGACCGATCGGCGCGAGATGATCGTCTGCGGCTGCCCGCGATATCTCGAGGAAGATCTCGACCTTCTTCCTTATCCGAGCCATCCTCCACGCGTTTTTCTCCTCGTAACGGTGAATCGCGTGACATCAAACGCAAGACACTCTCCCACAGTTATCGGAAGTCCACGCCTCGCGAGAGTGCATCAAAGTCGACCGATCTCCCATCCGTTTCATCGTTTTCCCTCAGCAGCAGCGTTCGACCGAAGAAGTTTGGAGGGTACCGTCCACCTTCCGGGGTAATTCTGAAGAATCTGAGCTCCGACAGCGAATCGGAATCCGTTAATGAAACGAGCCGCGAACTTTTTTCCGTCCGAAAAATCGACAGTACTATCACGACTTTGGAATTATCCTCGCCGGAATCCATGGCTGTCAATGAGCCTGTCAAGAAGATGCCGATTATGTCCGCGAGAAGTGACATTATCGGGTCGATATTGCCGAACCTTCTGCCTTCATCGCGATCGCTCAACAATGACGATTTCGATGGTCGGATTGCCCTAAATACTTCGCGAAGTTACGCTGGACAAATAAATCGTGATGAAACGAAAACTTATAATCAACCGGGGAAAATAAATACAGAAATACTGGATATAGATGTTTTTAATGAGCGAGCAAGCAACGATGAATTTGTAGCGAAAACTTCCAGTGATTTTCGGCAAGTCGAGCCGGAATATGAAAGTCCGCGTTATCAAAGACAAGAAACGCCGCAAGATACATTCTTCAGGAAAAATTTTACGTTAGAATTTGCGAAACCTATATCGAGTGCTTACAATGAACAAGTAACTCATAATGAACCTCCAATGAAAGCTTATGATGAATTTAAACGAGTAGAATCGGAATTTGAAAGTACACAGGAGAAAGAAGAAGCGGAAGATTATCGACGGGTCACATCGGAAACACAACGTGACATTAAAAATTCGTTTGAATTTAATTATTCGCCAGGCCAGTTTAACTTTGAAGTCCATTCTTTAGAAAACAATGGGGGTGTTCTCGATATGGCAAAATGGCATCGATCGATGAGTCTTTACCCGAAAGAAGCTGCCGATACGTCACATTTTACAGAAAGAATTCAAAACGATATTACGGAAGAAGCTCTATCGTCTCAGGCTTCGGAACCGTATGGGAGTGGAGATCACAGTCGGTCATCCTGTACGGCAAAAATGTATTTACAGAAGGAAACACTCTCGAGCCGGAGACCTCAGACTGGCATTGACACGCCGGATAAATGCGATCAGGAAATTCTAACAAAGGTTCCTACGCTTGCGTTAAATTCGCAGGATATTTCGTACTCGACATCAGCAGGCAGCCGAGAATGTTCCGCTACGCAACCTCTCGATCCCCACGCGTTGATCAAAGCTTTATCAGATGTATCTCTAAAACAGGAAAAACAGGCCGACGACGCGTCAAGGAAACGCGAGGGCTTTTATCACGGTAATAGGGATACGATCGGTGCATCGAACGGAGCCTCGGATTTTCCCATGAAAGGGGAAACGTGGCGCGTACCAAGATCTTCGACGTTAGAGTCGCCTAGAAGATCGCTGCCGCGTGTTCCTTCCAGGATACCCGTCAGGATTCCCAGTAACAAGAGTCTATCGGGCAACGGCTCGGGATGTTACAAATCAGAAAATTCCAACAAGACTGCCATTTACGCGGAGTCGAAATTTATCGAACGAAACAGCGTTCCGTGCGAAAGTATCGTTCATCAAATGAGTTCGTCGTACTCTGAAATCTGCAAACAGAATTCGTTGAGGTCGAGGCACGAGAGCATCGCTGAAGGCGCATTCGCGCCGGACAACGAGGCGGAATACGTAATCAACGATCGGGCACTTAATTTAACTTCCTCGAATCTACGGAGTCCCCAAAGTGTATTCTTTGTCGATTACGCGTACGATAAAATGCAACATCTCTCTGCAGACAGTAAATTTCAAGAGAGTTGTTCACCCGCGTTCTTCCACAAAGCAGCTTACTGCAACGGTCGAGATTACGCGAAGATCGATGACGACGTACGATCGAGATCGGATCGAAGTACATCTCGGAAAAGCGTGGACACTATGGACATCACAAGCGCTACCGAATCGACAGGTCTGTCCAAGTACAAAAAGGGCGAGTTTCGAATCGAGTCGTTGAAAAATGCAGAGGGGGACGTTACTTGGAGAACCGAGGATGAATGCGCATCGATTAATGACGAAGAAAACCTTGAAAACGTAAAAGATTACACATCGCGTGGCAAAAAGTCAGAAGGACTGTATTTGCAGGATAACGAACGATACAAACTGGCAATGGGAAGAACGTGTGAGCCATTGTTGGTGAAAAATCAATATCTTCAATTAAATTCGCCGTCGGAAATCCAGAAAAGCGGTAGAAAGCGAAATTATGTTGACGATAATCTTGAATTGAACGACGACAGGTTGAGCTTCGATGGAAATCTAAAAGCATCTAAGATCGCGACATTAAAAAATTTGACGTTTCATGTACGCAGAACGCAGGAACAGTCCAACTTTGTCGCGATACTATCTCCGTCGACGTTGAACTTGAATTGCGAGCCTAAGAGAAAAAAGAAGAAGAAGAGCCAGGAACGTTTTCCCTTCACAATTTCGGAGGCATCGCTGTCGATTCAACACGAGGATGCAAACGATTATCAGTCACCCGATAAAAATCTTGGCTGTACAAAAATGGACGATCATCTGCGAGAAAAGACCGACTACCAGCTGAAGATGCATCCTAGTTTAATGAGACTGGCCACTTCGGGTGTGGAAGATACCGTGGCGGATATTCTGTGCAGTGTTGCAGAGGAAAAAAAGGAGAATATGACGTCTTCGAAATCTATGATAAGGGCGTTTGTTCGGATATTCGGATTTTCCTCGAAGAAAAAAGCACCAAAGCAGCCGAATGATGACAAAACTCTAATATCGACGAAGATCATCTACGAAAATAATGCTTGTCAGGAGAACTCCAAAGCGAATAGCTGCTCGGATAATTCGTTAACAAAGGAAATTTATAAAACTCGCTCCAACGATCATCTCGCTACGAGATCGAATCCTATCCTCGTCTCCTCTTTGGAAATCCTGAAGAGGACGGAGAGTCTCCAAGCGATCGCTCAAAAACATCCTCACAGACGATTCGATCGGGATGATTTGTGGGTGCGAGACATTAAGGATTCTTCCTTCGACGAGAAGAAAGATAGCGAAATGTTGCAAAGGAAGGACGAAGGAGACGGATTAGAAGAAAGTTCTACAAAGGATCGCTATTCGATTTTTCTCGCGAAGTCTAACGAACCTGCGTCTAATTATAATTCTCCAAAAGGACAACAGGACGTGATAATTTCTGGTCGCGTGGCAGATGAAAAAGGTAAACGAAGTATTGCCCGAAAGGTTTCGTCGAATCTCATCTTCGAGATCGAAGAAGTGGAAGACTTGACCGGTTGCTTCTGTTGGAGGCTGTGTCACATATTCGCGCCGTCCAAGTATCGTTCACCAGTAAAGGCGCAAGTTTCAGCCTCGAGAACGAAGAAATCCGATTCCCTGCTGCAGAAAAGAAAGAAATGATTATCCGTAATATTTAGAAAATATTTTTAAGTATCAGCAACTGATACTTTCGCTCAACCATACCCAATCTGACTCAACCGGTGAACAAGAAATAAATTGCAACTCGATACTTTCATGGAAGACACCAGACGGTAACCGGATACCAGTTCTTCATTGTCGACTGAGAGAAAGTATCCACAATCGATACTTGGTAGTATTCTTTATTCGCTTGACGCTACATAAAAAAGATCACTGCATTTTCGCGCGGCGGCACTTTTTTTTTTCATCACTTTTGTACATATAGAATTAGTTGGCATTAAAACGTAACAATTACATTTATCAACAACTTTGTGTAATTAGCGTCTTGTATACAATTTCCTCGGAATAGTTCCGCTAATTGCACGTACGTGGAAGAAAGAAATTTTTAGACAGCTCACACATCGAGATTACTTTGAAATAAAATGCGCAGGGAAACGAGAGTACTGAAAATATACTTAGGATGATCACGAGGATTTTGATAACCGGAGAGATGTGGCTTCGGTGGCAGCGTAATCGAAGCCCGTCGTCGATTCATGTTCTTTATTTATTCGCCGTTTCGTACATATTTCACTTGTTCTCAATAATAATTGTTGCGTGTGTATGTCTGTGTTGTGTTTGTTACACGGGTTACTTCCGTACGTCATATTTATACACGAGTAAGAGTCTTTGCCGTAGATGCGCAATTATCGCAGTTTATCGCCTTAATAAAACGTTTCTTCGCTACGCATTAACTTATTATCATTATTATCGTTATCATTATAGAAAAAATAAGTCTTTAAATAATCACATAAGAGTCGTCGAGAGCCTTTCGTGAAGGGACACGGAAAAGGAACGCGGGGGAGGACAGGGGTGGGGGAGAGAGGAAAGGGGAGGTACGTGGGTATGCATACATTCATGCATATTTGCGTGATACTGTATATGCGTATACTATAAACGCGTACGTGTATGAAGTGTACGGCATATGTCACGTATGTGTATGTGCGCGTAAAAGTACATACATGGACGCATGCATGACGAAGGGACGGAGAAGACGAGATTGTTGGATCCGTCATGAGGGGAGGAAGGGTGGGGGAGAGGGTGGGATAAGGCTGTCGCTTGAGAAGTAACGCTGTTGGCCCTATACGGTACTTGCTTATCGGCTCTGTTCGCGTCGTCGGGACAGCGGGAGCCGCGTGCGCTAAGCCTAGAAAAAGAGCTATCTACCGAGAAGACCAGTCGTTTTCGCGTCTTTTTTTTTTTTTTTTTGTTTTCCTTAACCCTTTTCTTTTTTTAGGACTACACACGAGAAACGCGACGATTACACGTTATTCCGCTATCGAGGAGGGACTTTTTTTAATCGATTCGATCATTAGGAGGGGGTGGGGGCAGGGAGAGGAGGAGGTGGACAAGGGGAAGGGAAAGGGGTACAAGGTAAGGGGGTGGACGGTCGACGGCCGCCGTGTTAAGAGCGTAAAGAAAATCGACGCTAAAGGCAATGCGTTTCCGCGATCCACCTCGAGCGCTCTCTCATCTATCTCTCTTTCTCTCTATCTCTAGTCAGCTTCCTTTCTCCCTCGTCCCGTCGCGTCGCCGAGAAAGGAAGAGAAGCTTCGTCCGCCGGCACATGCCTCGCATACAATCGCGCACCTCCACGCGACCGCATGCGTTCTACACGCATTGGCACGATACGCATGCGTGCTCGACGTCAATCATGCGTTGCGATGCTCTTTCGCTCTCTCTCTCACACACACACACACACACACACTCTCTCTCTCTCTCTCTCTCTCTCTCTCTCGCCTTCCCGTCCGCGTTACCGCATCTTCGAGTTAGCGATTTGCAAACTCTAGCCCCTATGCCATCGAATAATTAACATCTGCGGGCACGCACGAAGCGAGATATCTCGATAGAGATAATAAACGAGATTCCAACGACATTTGTTATATTTATTAAGAAAATAAAAGATTAAATTTATAAATGTAGAAAAAAGTAAATAGTCTAAATTCCTACTAAAGGAATTCTATTGTATAAAATAGTAAGCGTAATGTAAGTAGAAAAGAGTTAGGTAAATCAAACGAGTAAAGAAAGAATAGATTTCATATTAATTTCAATATTGATGAAATAATAGCTCAGCTATATAGCTAGATAAAAACAAGATAGTTCGAGCAGAAGAAAATAGCTTTGTTTTCTCACGATGGAAAAGTTAGTGTCTCCAATGGGAGTAAAAAAAACATGATAAGAAAGATTGTTAAAATAATCTGTGGCGAGATATCTGATACGATACATATATCAACACGCTTGGTACGCTGTACCGGTCGACCTTTCTTCGACGGACATCGAGCTAATTTAAGAGCTATACAGTTTTAATCATCTGATAAAGCACGAGGAGGGACGCGCTCGAGCGATTAACGTGGCGGCGGAATTATGTCTGTGTCCGGTTATCCCCATTGCGCGTCTCAAAGGTCGTTGTATAGTGGCTTATCGAGGCGCGATAGCGAACACAGGCGAATTACGTTTCTAACGAGATTGTACGATTTGGCAACAATGAGCAATCATGGATATAGTATATGCGATAAGCGGACGAATCTTCGTCTTCCGATCTCGAAGCGCTCGAGGCGCGATCTAGCAATCTCTTGATTTTCCTGCTTCGTTTGCTCGCTTCGAGATTCACAAGGAACGTTCGTTCAGTTCTTTTTCATGCGCTCCACGTCGTTCTCATCATCGTCGTCTTCGTCGTCATCTAGGCTCGTGCTGCCGGGACGGGGCTTCTTGTCGGGGAAACGACGTCACAAGGGGGGTGGAATGGAAAATTCCCTTCGCACGTAGAACAGAATGTAAGGCTTACATTTAGCAACAACGTCGGTAGTTACGGGCCGTACCGAGCTGTCGTTAAAATGGAACCACTGGCCGTCATGCACGGCAAAGGCAGTGTAATGTCCAGTACCGGCACTGTAACACATAACATTACAATGTAAATACAATTATCGATTAACACTCCTTTTCGTTAAAGCTATGCACATTTCTGAAATTGAAAGTGAATTCGGCTGGATGCGTAGCGCAAACTGGTTCACGTTAAATTTTTTGCATTTTACTTTTACACTCAGGTTAAATCAATATACAACACGAGGCTTTAATACGTGCTAATACGTTCAATCAAGTTTAAATTTCAGACGTATATTTTTTTGGAATATTTTAATTACTGACTGATAAAGTGAGATATCCAAATATGTACAATTAAAATTGATTGTCTGGAATAGAGAGAGAGTTATGTATATCGATGACTTTTTTCAGGCTGTTCTTCAAACTGGTATGCCAATACTAGCTTCACAATTCGTTGTCCAAATATAAATTTTTAATACCGTAATGTGTGCTAAAACCTAAATAACAGTTTGGAGAAATCATTGATAATTGACTGTACATAACGGTAGAAATTTATTTATTTTCGAAATTATATAAGTAAGCGATATTGCAAGTATTGCAGCGCGATTTAATAATCGTTAAATACATTCGAGAGAAACGGTAAAAGTAATATTTCAAAATATAGATTATGTAGGAGACAATGCTATCTTATCGCATATCAACGTTACGCGTTAGTCGCTACTATTACGAAGAAAGTTTCTATCGTCGGGTAACCGGTTTGATTAGAAGCGTTGTCAAGCAAGGAGACGTACCCAGAACCATGGTGCACGATAACGGCAGCCAAGTCGTAAAGATGACTATTCTGAGCGCCCAATCTCGTCCCGGTCACGCCGCGCACGGTGAACGCTGACATGTCGAGAGATTCCATCGGGAAATCCACCTGCGTGTCCACCTTCGAGCGATAGGAATTGCACCACCTAAATCTTTTAATGTGAAGGCACAACACCTGTGGAAAGAGCGAGAGCATCGATTAACGCATCATACGTCAGACTTATTTCTCTGCCCGATCAAAGTTCTCTTTTCGGGTCACGTACTTTAATTCACGCGAACTATATCGATCAGAAACACGCACCTCCAATAAACTTCCTCGAATAAACTAAACTTACTAAGCGTTTAGCAAAATTAGAGCAACGTCGAAAAAAAAAAATCGATGCACGTTAGCGAAGAGAAGTGGAGGTGCAAAGAAGATTTTTAAAGTTAAGGATTTAAAATTTTTTATTTTTATTTTTTTCGGAAAAGTTGTAAGAATTCCTTTGCACTGAAATTTCTTGAAAATAAAATGTCAACTCGAATTAATTTTATTTTTCTCGAATGCACTGTTTCGAAAGATACGATACTCACGTTAGGCAGCCTGTGTATCCAAAACCTCTTGGTAGACCTCTGCTTGCCCATGCAGTTGTCGCAGAAGTAGAGCTCGCTGTCGGCCAGCTCTTCAACCTTAAAGAATCTCGTCAGACTGTAAGTCAAACTGCACACTTCCTCCTGCTCCTTCGTCCTGCTTCTTTGCAATCGGTCCGGTATGTCCAGCGAGAGGTCCTGGAAAGGCTCGTGCGTCTTCGAGTCCGTACGACAGTTCATACAGTGGACCTGCGCGAGGAAACGCGATCCATAATTCGTCCGCGCTTCTCCCAAGAAGAAAACGAAGAAGAACGTGACTTTGGCAAGCGACACCAGTCTCTCGAGAGCGCAGAAATTCCCTCCTGCCAAAGAGGCTGCGAGGACGTTCGTTTCGCACGCAATCGAGACTCGCTGTCTGGCGATCGGGTCGTTCAACTTACCACGCTAAGAAGAGTGCCTCCAAACACGGCAGTGACAATACTCTGTTTGCCGCGCAATCCTAGAGGCTCGTGTCCCAACCTGGGCAGCAGCTGTAGCAGCTCGGTGTGCAGTCGGTCGAGCATGTAGGTGAGGAATTCATGGGCGTCCTGCTGCTGGTAGCCCCGAAATCTCGGCACGACCTTCCAGATGGCCAGAAATAGGCATTCGGGCGATATCGCTTGGCCGTTCGAACCGCCCAAGCTTAGACCGAGTAGCACCTTTCGTAATTCCTCAGCGAGGAGAGCGTCGCTCATACACATCTCCTTCGCGCGACCCGGCGTTACGATGCGACCGCGGTGCGTGGGCGGCCCCGTAGATTCGTCGAAGGCGATACCCTCGAGACATGGCATCTGCGTGAGATACTCGCAGAAATGACTGATGTTGTTGAAGGATTGCAGCACCACGTTCATGAAGCAGGTGTTACCGAGATTTCTCAGACCGACAACCTTTTTCTCTTTGGTACTTTTGGAGCTGCGACGCTTGGCCGGCCGATTATCCGCGCTGCTGGCGTCCAGCGAGTGTAACCTCTTGCGAGCCGTCCTCGGTCGTAAATTCCTCACGACCACCTCTGCCTTCCACAGGGCGTCCGGATCGTTGTCGTGATCATCCCCGCCGTCGTCCCGCGTTCTCGAAGACGGCGGTGTCGTGGGCGGTGACGTGCTCCAACTTTCATCGTTCTCCTTGTGCTCGTCCTTACGAAAGGTGACGCGCCGTATCTTCTCGATCTGGCCATTCGTCGTGTCGTTCACCACGTATTCGTCGCAAGTGTAACTGGAAGAAGCGAAACACGAGGCATACAGTTTTTAGAATAGAAACCAATGACATTCATGTTCGTATTACGACACACATAAAAATCTCTATACTTCGATATCTATTAATAAACTTATTGATTTATTCATAAATAGATATCATTCTAATATTTCAAAAGTGACACAATTTAAAAAATTAAGTTTTTCCGAAAAGAGGACAATTTTCATATCCCACAAAATTACAACAAATCCAGAATAATTTATCAAAAGTGATATAATTCGTAAAATCGCCAATTTATACCTTAATTAGCTAAAATGACCAAATTCAAAGCAAAACAATTTCTTCTTCGAACTTTGATCACCAAAACCGTCTTAACTCTAAACGTTCTTCTTTTGTAGAAGACTCCTTTTTTTATTTACAAAAATGACACAATTCAAAATATGTTACTATTGCAGAAGGTATCATGATCTTTTTGAAAATCTCAAGTATTACACAGATTGTGAAGTTTACTTTTGATGATTGAGCAATCAATTCACTCATCTTATTAACTCGAAGAACCCATTTTTTTTTTTTAGTTGTGTCATTTTTACGATAAAGGAACGATAAATTTCGCGACAACTGCACTTGTCTTGTCGTGTCTGAAATCCAGCTCTCCGAAATTATATACTGATTTCGGTAGGAGAGAGATACGTGTAGACAGTAGCATACGAAGACGTGAAGGCGGTGAAAGCGAAGGGATGTAAAGAAAAGACTCACCAGAATACTGCCAAGCTCTCGCAGTCTATGCATACGCAGTGCTGAGTATTAGTCTCGTAGTGCTGCAACGCGTGGCCTGCCACGTATCGTCCGCAGTGCACGGATCCGCAGTGCAGACAGAGCCAGGGACTCTTCTCGGTGCCGCACACTATGCACGATAATAATATGACATGTGAATGGCAGTCGCAAAATAAGCTCAATCGATGCTGTATTATCAATAATGAAATAGAGAAATCAACATGTTACATATGCGTGTAAGGGTGCGGAGACTAAATCCGTGATGATTTTATTCAACTTTACTTTTATTGAAATTTACAAAGTGTATGTATATTAAAAAGAACTTTCACAATGATGTATTAAATATA